GCCGTATAACTTAGTGAAACGATCATTTGACCTTTATTTTATTTTTTGCAGCAACCATGTCTGTGTCCTTAAAGGAGCTCTGTCAGATGGTCAATGTGCCTTATGATCAGGCAATGGCCCTAATATGACAGTGAGAGCTCTGATGGAGATAGTGTAACGTTAGAGAGAGAGGAAGCAACAGTGGTGGAGGATACAGTGGTGCATGCTGGTAGAGTGAATTTCTGAGAGATAATCATGATTTCACATGCCAAAATGAAAGAGTTTTAATGCAGATGTATTTCACAACAATATAAATAAAAACAATCACACTAATTGTACGATGTGTTTGAAAAGATTTATCTGGTGGTCTGGAGGAAGAGGAGGCCTCACTCCTGGCTCCAGAGCAGGTGCAGTTTGACACGGGTAGGTTTGATGCTTTTCTACATTTTGCTTTTCTGCTTTCTGCTTTTCTACATGGATTTCACAACCATAGAGGTAACACTTTACAATAAGGTTCATTAGTTAACATTAGTTAATGTATTAACTAACATGAACTAACCATGAGCAATACATTTGTTACTGTATTTGTTCATCTTTGTTAACGTTAGTTAATAAAAATACAGCTGTTCATTGTGTGTTCATGTTAGTTCACGGTGCATTAACTAATGTTAACAAGATTTAAATAAAATATTAGTAAATGTTGAAATTAACATTAACAAAGATCAATAAATGCTGTATATGTGCAGTTCATATTAACTAATGTAGTTAACTAATGTTAACTAACGGACCTTATTGTAAAGTGTTACCACAATGTAAAATAAATAAAAATGACACTAATTGTACAATGTGTTTGAAAAGATTTCTCTGGTGGTCTGGAGGAAGAGGAGGCCTCACTGCTGGCTCCAGAGCAGGTGCAGTTTGACACGGGTAGGTTTGATCCTTTTCTACATTTTCTCATTAAATTGGATACGGTCCTTCAACTATAGCCCTTACTGTTGACAGTTTATAAAGATGTAACTCATTCATGCATGTTTGGTTTGTGTGTGTATTTTGAAGTTTTCCATGGTGCAGGCGATGAGGACTCGGATGCACAGCATTCATGCTCAGATGCTGAGGAAGACGCACCTCCAAGGAAAAGACTGAGAGCTTACAGATCTTACACCGTGTCCTAACTACACGCGATGTGACGCGACGCCGCGTCACGTAATAAAAGGTATCTTTTCCATGTTAATCAGAGTTTTTGTCCTAACCAGACGCGACGGCGACACGCAAAGTTTCTAATTTAGAAACGGTTCCTATTTCTGCAACGTCGTGGCTGACAGAATGAAGAAATTACACTGGTTATGAGTACACATTATTTATTTTTAGTTAAAAATTGGTCACTGTGCCACAAGATAACGGATAATTTACCTCAGATTTTGAAAACAGATAATATAGCATTCAAAATGACTTCTATGCAAACATATACAACTGTACTTCATCACAAAATTAGTCAATGAGTATGTTTTGTTAATGTTTTGATTTTTAATAATGTTATTTCTTGATTTGATTATGTAACTTCTTACCCATTTCCAATGCGAGTGCGGGCCAGCAGTGTGCTTTCACGCACACGCTGTTCTGCGTGGCTGTGATTTTTGAGTGTGGCATCTCACAGTCGCGTCCCGTCTAGTGTGGACAGACACACTTGCTGTCGCTGGAATTTTATCGCGTCGCGTGTAGTTAGGACACGGTGTTACAGTGATTATGTTGTTGTGTTATATTTTGTGCTATTAGGTACAACAACAATGGAACGATGGACTTCAAAATCAACCACTCTGATTACTGGCATTCACATCCAAGTCACCAACTCCGAAACTCCACCTCAGACAGCCACACAGTCACCCCCACTCTATTCAGGCCGCCTGAAGATAACAGTGCTGAAATTCAAGACCTGAAGGAAGTCATCCCAAAGGACTTTCACAGCTTTTACGACAATTTACTTCACTAGCTTAATATAGGATGCAGTATTAAAGGAGAACTGGCAAAATGATCCTGGGGTGTAATAACACATTGGTATCGAGTTTTATCTCTAAAAACTGTTTAGCTTATAAAGCTAGTATATGTTGGCATATAATAAGTAAAAAGAAATCAATGCTAACAATGCTCAAAATAGCCCCACACTAACACGGTAGTATAATGAGGGTCTCTACATACAAACCGAAGCACTGAGAACTTTGTAAGTGTACAGACAGTTTAATAATAATATACTTTATAAAGACAGTAGCATCCCGGCGCCATCTTTGGAAAACAGTCTCGACCAATCGAACCACTAACGCCACACTGAGTGAGCTGAACTAAGTTCCAAGTCACAGTTTAGCTCGTAGCACAGCGTTCGTGGTTCGATTGGTCGAGACCGTTTTCCAAAGATGGCTCCGGGATGGTACTGTCTTTATAAAGTATTATTATTAAACTGTCTGTACACTTATAAAGTTCTCAGTGCTTCGGTTTGTATGTAGGGACCCTCATTAAGCTACCGTGTTAGTGTGGGGCTATCTTGAGCATTGTTAGTGGTATTAACTAGTGATTTCTTTTTACTTATTATATGCCAAAATAACATTATAAGCTAAACAGTTTTTAGAGATAAAACTCTTTACACTCGATTATCATGAAAACAAATCCGAGAGAAAGGTCGACTCGGTACCAATGTGTTATTACACCCCAGGTTCATTTTACGCAGGAGTTCTCCTTTAATACAGTCAATATAATGGCAATGTAACCACACACAGGGTCTCACAGATACATGCACACAAACAAGGGCTAACCATACTCACAAACACAAATACACAAGCCTTAACTGTGATTTTATTATATTATAAATATTATTTTATATTAATATTATATTTATTTTATTGTTAAACTATGAAATTTGTTATTGATGTATTTTAAATGTCTACTTTTTACTAGGCTTATTATAAATGTGCATTGAAGTTTTTAAATGTATAATATAATACTTGAATTGAATGTTTTGGATACCACCATTAAATTATTGTTTTTATTATTATTATACTGACTCAAAGTTTCCTCTCGTGGCACTGTGCATGTAAAATAGCCCAACTATTGTTTTTATGGGAGAAAAAACTGAAAAAAACGTCTACTGGCGTCGAGTAAGCTTATCTTTGGATAACTCTGTCTCTGTCTGTTTTTTAGGTAATAACGAGTGAAAATAGTTAGGTTAGATACATTTGAGTAGGCCTGTTTTGTTAAAAATCGAAAGCTGTAATGCTTAGATGCAGAAGGAAGCCCGTAAGCCACAAAGGTAAGTTTGTGTGCAGATTAGGCTCATTTCCGCCTATTAGACAGCCTAGTCAGCTCGTTTTTTGTGTGTATTGCATCACTTATAGATCATAACCTTTTAAAATAGAGTTTATGAAGATATATGTAACCACAACCATAAGCTTAGATTAGCTCTTAAAACCTTGTCTCGTCAAAAGGCTCAACGCGACCGCGGACTTGCATGAACACTGCTGGCAGCAGCAAGTCTGCGTCGTTCCACAGCGAGTCTCGTATCTCCCTGCTCCCAAGTCATAAACCTCGGATCTCCGATTAAACATGATTTTGGGGAAATGTTGTGTTAATGTTGGTACACAACTGTATATAACAGCAATATAAGGTATAATACCAACTTTAACGATACAATGTTTAATAACTCAAAAAATACGCAGTTTTGTTTATTTCCTGAAAAATGATGGTTTTGGAGATACGAGGATTCCGCCCGACAGCGACGATATATATGTTAAAGATATTGACTTGGATAAAATAAAGATTGGCATAATGCCAACATACTTCAGCTATCATGACTGCGTTGTGCTGAAGTGGCTGTTTTAATACAACGTCCATCTAAGGGGGGGGGGGATGCAGAGGTGGATGCTGAACACTGGACGGCCTCTGTGGGAATTCATGCTGCCTTCACATGCTATCGGAATTAGTGTAAATAAATTTTCTTATTTGCAAATTTAACATGAACAAACTATATAATAAAACTTTTCAATAACAAAATATTGATCACAAAGATTTACAAACTAAATAGGCAAGAATCACCCTGCCTTCATTCAAAAACCTAACCTTTCTGAAGAACAAAACACATGAACATGTCAAACTTATAATCATGATTTAAGGAGTCAGGAAAAGGACATTTCCGATAGCACGTGAAGGCAGCATTAGTCAATGGGATTGTTAGTGGGTGTTAAGGCAATTTTTCCATATTCCTGTTGAATTATCACAATTAACTGCTAATATTTTATTATTTAAACATACATGTCAATAAAAATAAAAATTATAAAATAAACATTCAATGGCCTTAACACCCACACATTAATTTATTAATTTTCATTCATTCATTCATTCATTCATTCATTCATTCATTCATTCATTCATTCATTCAGTCAGTCAGTCAGCAGTCATTCTTTTTATTTATTTCTTTGATGTGTTTTATTGTTTAAAATCTCTGTATAATGTCCTTTTATAATGAATTTGTATGGAGACTTGCATCATACAGTATATCATACAGGCAGCATTTATAATGAAGTACTTACAACAAAGTGTGCTACAAGAAATTAAACAAATTCTTTGCAGCAGAAAGAGAAAAAATAAAGGTTAGACTATTTTGATCTTTTAAATTAGTTATAACTGTTATTATATTTACATAATATGCCTATAATAAAATAAACAGTTGCTTTAAACACAATGTTTCATAAGTACAAAATTAACTTGTGTAAAATAAAATAAAAAATCCTAATCAAATCCTTGTTGTCTTTAGGTACATAAAATGTCTTATGCTGCTCTGATGACAAGATCATCTTCATTATTGGGACAATAATCAACTCATGAACCAGCTGAAGAATCTATTCAATACAAATCAAGGAATCAGTTTGACTGCAGAAAAACAATGTCCAGATCATCACACCACCATCACCATCGTGGACTATTGACTCAAGGCACGTCATTGATTCCTGCTCTTTGTATCAAATATGGACCCAACATCTGTGTGACTCAGTTCAGCATTCAGATCATCAAACCATCACCACCATTGTGGAGTACACCTGTGTGGCTCAGTTCACCACAACAAATTCTCATCCCAAGGCGTCATCTATCTCACACTTTGGACCATGCTTAAACATCCGACGCTTTAGGCACCCTTATTCAGCACCAATTCAGATTCATCACAATACGAGGTAAATTCTTTCACTGTTCATTTTTTTAACTTTAATCTCATTACAGTTTTTATTGTGGAGTACACCTGTGTGGCTCAGTTCACCACAACAAATTTTCATCCCAAGGCGTCATCTATCTCACACTTTGGACCATGCTTAAACATCCGACGCTTTAGGCACCCTTATTCAGCACCAATTCAGATTCATCACAATACGAGGTAAATTCTTCCACTGTTCATTTTTTTAACTTTAATCTCATTACAGTTTTAGCTTTCGGTTCATGTCTCTCAGAAGAGGAAATCAACATAATCTAGTCATTTTGCATTGCCATGTGTTGCACATACTGAAATGCTGACCATTCTGAAATGCTTATCACAGTTGTATCTGACAAAGTTTTTTTTGTTTGATAGAGGCCAGTGTTGTCTGTCATTAAGGGTATTTTGGTGGTGTTGCCCTGCATGGACTGAAGCCCTTACCACCGTATCATCTCTGAAGATTGGTATATGAGCTTATCACCCACTGAATAATTGTCATTGGATGAGCTAGATTATGTCATGTCAAAAGATCTACAGTCTCCACTGGATCAGCCAAATTACAGCAAATCTTCATTTCTGCTGGTTCAGCTCAGTCATTAGATGTCTTTGTGGCCACTGCTTCAGTCCAGTCCCAAGTCATCTTCATCACAGCTGGTCCTGCCCACCTTCAAATGTGTTTTGCAGCAGCTGATCACAGTCATCTCCAAGTCTCCTTCATTATCATCTCAGCCTGTATTTACTCTGTTCACAACTACACTTATGTCCAATCTAGCTGCTAGTTCCACCCTGGCTCTTACCTCCACCAGTTATGTTGTGGTCCATCATCCTGGATCTCCTCTAAATCATCCTTTGCCTCCTCCCTCCATCACATCCTGCCTGGCTTCTACGTCTATCATCTCCACTGTGTCGTTTCATTTAGACAGATCCTGGGTCTCATTGGTCTTCATCTGCTCAATGCCAACTTCTGTTACCTCTGTTGAAAATTGTGTTGCACGAACACACAATTGTTGTTGATGTGGGTTGAAACTTATGTTACAATATATTCTGTGTACTTCCATTATCATGGTCGGCTTTCCTTTCCCTATCACTACTTACCCAGCTTCTTGTGTGGTGTTAAGTTATTATTTTTATTTTATGTAGCCCTACACTTTGGCTACCCTACCACATTACCTTACTTCCAACACTGCTGTATCATGCATGTTTACCTGAACACCTTGTTTAACTGTTCAGACATGAGTGTTAAAGATTGGAGTCAAATTCTTTAGGAGTGTGCACTTCTCTTTGACTTTTTATTGCCTCTTCAATGTACTACTTAACAACTATATGTTTTTTTATTGAATATGTTATTTTTGCTTTCAAAATGTTTTTTTCTTATTCACTGCATTCAAAATGAATGAATGAATGAATTAATGGTTTATTTTTTACTTTTTATTATATTCTGTAATTTCACATTTAATGTGGACTTCTCTTTTTAGTCTTTAATGCTCAAATTTCATATTTTAAAACTTTACAATTATGGGTTTTCATTTATTATAGGATTATTTAAAAAAAATCTGTAACACAAACATACACTTAAATATGCAACACATTTAAATTAAATTAATGAATTAAATAATTGTTTGTAACTATTTCATAAGGCTTTTTTCATATGAATTGTTTTTTATAATTGATTTTATGTAATTAATATTGATCTAAGACTTTTGGTTTGATTCAATGTACCTTTTTTAAATGGCACATTTTTCATACTCTAATAAATGTGCTAACACATTGTTGTACATACATATATTTGAAATAAAATATTTTTACTTCCTTTTTAATTTCTATAGAGGCACCTATTGCCTGATTTGTATGAAATTTTGCATGCTTGTTTAGAGTCATGTCATATCTTTCCTTGCGGGCTGGAAAACACCATTATGTGATTTCTGAAATGATCTGTTGAAATGTGGCTGAAAAAGAATACGCTAAAACACATAGAGAAAGGAGAAGCTTAAACAATTATACTTGATACACACAATTGTGTGCATGTTTACACACACACACACACACACACACACACAGTGTGAAACTCGCTACTGGCCATTATGAATGCCTGTTTGTGTGGAAATGTGAGACAATGGCAAGTGCACAAACGCGCAGCATCAACGTTAGACTGTATTCTCGTCTCTCCAAATATTTCGACTTTAATCTCGAAATTTTTTGACTTTTTTTTTTACAGATTTTTTATTTTTATATATATATATATATATATATATATTTTTTTTTTACAGATTTTTCTTTTTTGGCTGCGGTTCAAGGCTTCCGTAATTTTTTTTTTTTAGCATTTTTCATTACAAATTTTATTATGAATTAGAAGAAAATACAACTGTACAAAACTATTTACAATCATCATAAAGATGAAAAAACTTAAACAAGTAAAGAATAAATTATTATATAAGTAATAAAAAAACTCTGTGTGGTAAAAAAAACAAATATGGTAAATAAAAAAAGCACTATTTGTAATGGCCTATTCGTCCAGCCATTCAAAGGCCAGGCCCTCTCCTTGGAAAGAATGTCTCCTGACTCCATAATCATATTTGATTTGAGTCCCCACACGAATGTCCCTTATAGCCTTGAACAGGATGATATCCTGGTCCTGCCCATGTACCTTGAGTTTACAGTGGAAACGCTTAATGTTAGGGTTCCTCCGGGAATGGTTGATCAGTCTTCCTAAGGTTTATTTTGTGAGTCTGGCATGAGCAAGGGGAGGTCTGTGCATCAATGCAGCTCTTTTCCTCCAGATTTAAAAAAGAAAACGTATCCAGGCTCATTGTGCTGGCTCTCCACATTGGCCCTTCCTTCTGCAGCTGTGACTACCTTGCCATGGTAGTCACAAAGGATTTCATCTTTTGCAAAGTTTGGGGTTGTGACGACCAGGGTGCGATTTGTGAAAAAAACAGAGGGGGGGATGTTTTGAAAAAAAAAATTCATAAAAAAATTCATGAACTTCATCACTGCATTTGCAGGAAAAAAAATTCTTAATAACTCATGAAGTATCCTAACGCAATATTTTTAATAGCTTCCCACACATATATGAACTGTGATCGTGCACAACGAAAAAACATGCAATAAATCAATAGATTAATAGTGGTCCACTCCGTGTTTTATATATCTCCCACCGCTAGAGGTTCTCTGGAGCGGTGAACGGTTACATACTCCAAGCGCGGCAGTGTTCTGATGACGCCGTTGTAGCGCGACACGCGCAGCTGAAGACCAGATGGAGGGGATCGTAGATGCACCATGCAGGAAATAAACAAAGTCTTTGCGAGCGCTTCTGTGACAGTACCGGGGTCGGCGCAAAAGTCCAAGCTGTCTTATGGCTGAGATGCAAGTTGGAGTAGTGTTGCAGTTGAGACTCAGCAGTTGTGAAATGGAATATTTCAACATCATGCCGGACGCTAGTGGCGTCAGCAGAGTGTTTACATCAAAGAGCGGCAGCAGGTACGTTGCAAAGCACCCAGCCAAAAAGATTGTTGTAGTACAGAGAGGTAGGAAACTTGCAAGGGGCAAAAGAGCATCTAATTAAAAACACTTTCTTAAAATACACTAATATCTGAATGGAGAAGCGGCGAACAGACAGCGCCAGCGTCCTCTCCCTCTCCCTGAGCAGTCCTCCTGAGCAGATGCATAGAAAAGTTTATGCATAGAATAAACATCACAATCTGATTTTCTGTTTCTATGATGACAAGCAGAGCTGGGTAGAGGCTAATTTATATCAGCCTCTCCTGAACCAGGGATTGATTGCAAAGTTAAACCACAATAGAAACAGTTTTACTGCTGCTGTTACGTTAAAGTTATAATGTTAACGTTACATCGCGATGACCTACAGTGAAATGATAGAAAAGACAGATGCATTATCTATGTTTGTTAATTCGCCTCATTTGCGCCGCAGAACCTCTAGACGCGCGAAAACGCGTCTTTACATTGAATTAACATTGAAATCACTCGCGCCAGATGTTCAAGAGTGAGTGACTAATCAAAAAAACCTTTGCTTTAGTCTCAGTTGAGTGAAACACCGTGTATATAACTTCGGCCATTCTCAGTGACTGGAGTGGACACTACAGTGTACTGCGGAGCTTACAGAGACGATCACCATCAGCTCTGTCTCCTGCCACTATGGAATTACTCAACACACAATCCCTTACCAATAAATCGCTGCTTATCCATGACCACATCCTGGATAGAGGACTAGACTTCATGTGCCTAGTGGAAACTTGGCATAAAACAGGCGATCACTCAGTACTCAATGAAGCTTGCCCTCAGGGTTATGTCTATATGGAAAAATCACGCAGCTCTGGACGTGGGGGTGGTTTGGCCGTAATCTATCGGGATGAACTGAAACTCTCTCCCTTGCCACTCCCCGATCTGACCTCAATGGAATGTTTAGCCTTCAAATGCAAACCTCCATACTCCATGACAGTGCTTCTCGTATACCGTCCCCCCAAACCACACTCCTCATTTCTCCCTGAAATACATGACCTACTTACATCATTTTGTTCCATGTCAAGCAGGATTGTTATTCTTGGTGATTTTAATATTCATATTGACAAACCCTCCTGTCATCTTGCAACAGAGTTCATGAGTCTGATCGATTGTCTTGGTCTCCATCAACATGTAAAGGTTCCTACTCACACCAAGGGCCACACCTTAGATCTTGTCATTACTGACACGGCCCCTATAAACAACCTGGTGGTGAAAGATCTGGGTGTGTCTGATCACAAGTTGGTCTCTATGGCCCTTACATTCTCACTGCCCATCATTACACCAAAGCGCCAGATATCTTTCCGGAACTGGAAGAAAATAAACCCTACTTCCTTCACTGTAGACCTTCAGTCTAATATAAACTGCCCAGTCTCTACGACAGTGGACGGACTAGTGGATCACTACAATACATCATTGAGCAGTATTTTTGACCGCCATGCCCCTGTCAGGACACGGGAAGTCAACTTCGAACGCTCCGCACCCTGGTTCACTCAGGAACTACGGGAAATGAAAACTAAGGGCCGAATCCTGGAACGACGCTGTAAACAGACTGGTCTAACTGTTCACAATCTTGCATTCCGTGACCATCAAAAGGCTTATCTTAAGTCCTTGAAGGGTGCACGTGCAAAATTTTATTCCCTCATCAATAAGAACACTGGAAATTCAAAACAGCTCTTTTCTACAGTAAACAATCTCCTGAAGCCGAAATCATCTATATCCACTGAGGCCACAGTGGAGCGATGCAACAGCTTCATGGACTTCTTTAGATCCAAAGTCAATAACATCCGCACTTCATTATCCGGCTCTTCATCACTGTTTCCATCCTCCTCCAACCCCTTGTCTGATGGATTGATGACACTTCCGTACTTCACTGAGGTCCAGCAGAGCCATGTTGAGGAAATCATCAATAAAATGAAGCCGTCCGCCTGCATCTTGGATCCCATCCCGACTGTCCTGCTCAAGTCACTCATTCCCACTGTCAGCCCAATCATCATCACTGACTTTATTAACCTTTCACTAAAAACAGGTGTTGTTCCACCTGCCCTTAAAGCTGCTGTCATTCGTCCGATACTGAAGAAACCAACCCTTGACCCAGAGGTCCTGGGAAACTACAGACCAATCTCCAACCTCACCTTCCTGTCAAAGGTTCTTGAGAAGGAAGTTGCCTTTCAGCTTCACAACCATCTAGAACACAATAACTTATATGAGGTTTTTCAATCAGGTTTTCGTTCGGCCCACAGCACCGAAACAGCTCTGCTAAGGGTGACAAATGACCTTCTCATGGCAGCTGACTCAGGATCACCATCACTGCTCATCTTACTCGACCTCACAGCGGCATTCGACACGGTCGATCATACCATCCTTCAGGACCGCCTCCATAATATAGTTGGACTATCAGGAACAGCATTGCAGTGGTTTAAGTCGTACCTCTCTGGCAGGACTGAACGAGTCATTTTGGGAGAATGTGAGTCCAGATTTTTTCCTTGTTACGTGTGGTGTTCCGCAAGGGTCGGTTCTTGGCCCTATCCTTTTTATCCTATACCTGCTTCCCCTTGGTTCTGTCATCAGCAGACATGGTCTATCCTTTCATTGTTATGCAGATGATTTGCAACTTTATATTAAAACTCCTCCAAGCTCCTCCGCAATTCTGTCGCAACTCAACACTTGTCTACTGGAGATAAAGGAATGGCTGGCAAGCAACTTCCTCCAGCTAAACTCCGGTAAAACAGAGGCATTACTTGTTGGAACCCCACACCAGATTCACTCCTCTCCCGTATCTCAACTCATTCTGGACA